TATTCGATGCATGTGAGGAACCCGCTCTGACGGTTGTCTGAGGATAGCATTTTTTTTTATTTCTTTAAAATCTCCTAGTATTTCTTGTTGTGTTTGTCAAGTTTTAGTTGTCTGTTTTTATTTTAACAAAGTTTGTTTTAAGTTCTATCTATTGCGTCTGTTTCTTCTTGTGTGACTACATCACGGATGCAGCAAACAGAAAATCTTTCGTGAAATTAGGACAATGAATAGTCGTTTATCTTAAAATATAAATATATTTTTAAATATAAAAAATATTCATAAGTATACGAAAATTTAAAAATAATTTGGCGCGCTATTTTGTGCTGTGCGCAATGCGCCATGGCTCACTTGTGGCGCAAATAACGCGCGCTATTTTAAACACATGCGCCTCGCCATGAACATTGCGCCATAGGTGCGCCGCGCCGCGCCGTGCGCCATGGCGCGCGCTATTTTGCGCCATTGACAGCTATGGTTGATCTCATGAAAAATGTGGATTTTAAAATTTAGGGTTTTATCTGATTTTGATTTTCCTTCAAAATGTCTTTATAGGAAAGTTTCTAAATGATGTTAGGAAGCTTTTTTGTGAAGCTAGATTCTTTTTAGGAGACATTTTTCATGCTCCAATAGTTAGGATTTTCCAAAAACATGAAAAAGGCACCCTTAAGTGTGTTGTTTCCTTTTGAGCTTAGGAATGTTTTAAAGCAAGGATTTTAGTTTTAGCATAAATTAGATTTAGCTTTATCATAAATTAGATAAATCCAATAAGTTGTTGTATGTTAACTTGAGTTTAAGGGATAGATGAGGTTTGTATGTTTGAGGTGAGCAAAGATTTATTTGAGGATTTCCAAAACCTAGAGTTATGATGAAATTCTAATCCTAGTGGAAATAACAACGGAATTATCGTAAATTGGGTGAGGGGTTATATAGAAAATCAAAGCTTGGTGTATGAAATAGTTACATGTTTATAACCTAGAGCTTTTTAAAGGTTTGAGAGGGAGAAAATTTATGTTTACACCTTATGTTTGTCTCTTGTAGATTTTGATTGCGTAAGAGGAAAGGGTCATAAGGACTTTTGACGGATCACTTCGTAGTGAGGTAGGTGAAATTGAATTCTTTAAAATTTAGAAAGTTTTTTACATGCAAATATATAAAAATGACATTCATTTTTATGCTTTTTATGATATCATTATGACTAGCATGTTTCTTTATAAAAGCTCATGATCACTTGATGTAAAAGCAAAGCCCTTTTTATGCAATATTAAAACTCAATGATGAATCTCATGCTTCATCCTTTACATGTACTACACATGCATTCTCTTTACATGCAAATATACATTTGAGCATAGCAAATATGTATTTTCATATGAAAACATACACTTGAATAGTTTACATGAGCCTCTTTTATGAATATGTAAGAATTAGGTGCATATGCATGTTGACGTGGAAGTATCAATGGTAAATGAGCTCTTTTGAGCAATGGTAATTAGGCTTTTTTGAGCCAAATGGTAAAGGATGTTCTTTTGAACCAAATGGTAAAGGAATGGTCAATTAATGTGTACCTGATCAGTACAAATGATACTTCCGAGACGGGTGTTGTATATATATTAAGATATTATGAACTGTTGACAAACATTTTCGTATCGGCTCGATCATGATCGATCGATCCAATCGATCATCGTCGAGGCAAAATTGGCCCAAATTAAACCTTAATTTAATATAATTTAATTTAATTAAAATCAAATCAAATTAAATCAAACCCCATCACGCGTCGTCGAGCCCAATTCGATGCAATTCAGCGCCGATTAGAGTTTAATTTCACAAAATTAAATTGATCGGACCCAAACCGATCCAAATCGGTTCGGGGTCGAGTCCAATTCGAACCCAATTTTAGTCCAATTCATTAAGTCTTAGTTCAATTCAAATCCCAAATCAAGATTTGAATCAAACAGCTTAGATTTCCTCTAAAATCCCGCTCTGTTTTTCGTCAAATCGCCTGATTTCTGCGGCTATAGCAGGAAATCGGGCAGGAAATCCACTCGAGTGCGATTTTTGCATGTAGAAGGAGCGGGAGACGGAGAGAGGATCTTCATCTGGCTCCCTTGTTCAGTCTCGAGCGGAACAGAGAGAAAGAGAGTGTGAAACCGAGAGCAGCACGATTCCTCCAGTTCTTTCGCCCTTTTCCCGTGCTGTCCGTCCCGATTTAGAGAGCCAGAGAGCGAGAGGGAACGAAACTCCTCCTATGTTCTACGGCTACCTCACGAGCGGGATCTTCTCCCGCGTGCGGAAGCCCTGTCCGATCTTCCTCCTTGCGCGCTGAAGCCCTGTCCGGCCCCTTTTGGTGTGCGCAAGTCCCGACCGAGCCCATCCAGAGCCTCGGCCAGACCTGCCAAGAGCTCCGGCTCCTTCCGCCGAACCTGTGTGACCCAACTACTTCGGCTCTGTCTCGGCCAACATAAGGAAGGCTTCACTTGCTGCGGAGACTTCTACTCCCTCTTCCTTCAACTCCGGCGGATTCGTGACAACTTGGATGCTGTTGGAAGCTTCCAAGCAGCAAAGGAAGCCTCCAAAACTTCCCAAACAGCAATTTGGGGGCTTTGAAATACCTTGGACAGCAAAGGCGACGTCCGGAACACCTTGAACAATAATCTTCCTCCTTGGGAAAGTCTTGGAGCAAATTTGGAGCTTGGATTGGAGCTTGGACAGCGATCTGGAGCTTGAATCAGAGCTTGGACAGTGCTTGAAGCTTTAATAGGAGCGCTAGGACAAACTGGGAGAGGTATAACACTAAACTTAGGCAAAACCTTAAGGATCCCTAGCCAATAGCATGTGATTGACGATCCAAAGCCTTAGGTCCCTAGAAATTTTGATTTTTTGGTTCCCAAAATCCCTTTATTCGATGTCCTCCCCGTAAAACAGTGAAAAATTAGTGTTTTCACTTATTTGCTCTCTTGTGAAAGCCAAAGAGGCATGCTAACGCGTGAAGGGGTGTTGAAGTGCATGAAATATCATTCATGTTATGTCTAGTGCTCTTACCTACAATCAAACCCTAAGTTTAGTGGCTCATTCGATGTTGAATGAAGTGTAGAAGCATAGGATCTCTTATCTAAGTGTGACATGCATTACTAGATCCCTAAAACTTGTATGTTACAACAAAACTAGCATTTACATATAATAGGATTGTACCGCTATGACATGCACAATTCTCTCTAAATTCTTTAGATGTTCAAATATGTGTTTCAATCATTCTTATGAAGTTGTGGGATCGTCCATGAGCACTTTTGATTCATGTTATGAATCCTACAACTAATAGGTTGATTGGAAGACATCTTTGAACTTCTCTAAATTTAGGGAGGCAAAGCAAAAATTCCTTTTTTTTATATGCTTTCATTTCTTAATGATAAATTGAGCTTAAATGAGTTATTGCCTATATGAATACTCGCTTTATGTTAATGGCTATGGTCCTTGTACGCCTACAATTTGCAAAATCATAAATATGTCCACAAAACTCATGGGTGCTTGCAAAGCAAAGATAGAGTATTATATGGCTTCAAGGAGCTTATAGATTACACCCCATGACATGTTGGAGTTTGTTATGCATGTTTAGTGTAATTTGTAAGTTGACAAGTCAAGGGCATCAACACATAACTTAGGCACATGATGAAGCTTTCGAAAAGACAAATCGAAAGCCTTCACCCCAA